CACTGTAACGGCCTACTACAACTCACAGCATTTTAAACAGTTTGCAATGGTGGCTGGGGCTGATGGGGGGCAGAAATGCAAAACATATGGAGGGCACCAGGTTGGAAAACACTTACCTGAAAAAATAATCCACAAATACAGTTAGTGGTTCTCTCCAGAGTCACTAAACCACTAGCCTTTTAATTACGTGTAATGGGATGGCCATCTTGGGGTACATTTAAAGGTAAAGTAAAGGTTTCCCATTGACATTAAGTCTAGTCATGTCTGACTCTGGGGGGTAGTCCTACTGTCTATTTTTATGCGAAAGAGTTGGAATTATCCATAGACACCTACATGGTCATGAGGCCAGCATGACTGCACAGAGTGCCATTACCTCCCTGCCAAAGTGGTACCAATTGATCTACTCACATTTGCATGTTTTTGAACTGCTAGGTTAGCAGAAGCTGGGCCTAGAGAGTGGGAGCTCACCCGCTCCCAGCATTTGAACTGTCAACCTTTCAGTTAGCAAGTTCAGCAGCTCAGTGGTTGAATCTGCTGCGCCACCAGAGGCTCTTGGGGTACATTTCCACATTAGAATTAACGTAGTTTGAAACACTTTAAACTGCCATGGCTCAATACTATGGAATCGTGGAAGTTTTAATCTTATAAGATCTTTAGTCTTTTCTGCCAAAAAGTGTTTGTGCCTCCCCAAACTACAAATCCCAGGATTCCATAGTATTGAGCCATGGAAGCTAAAGAGGTGTCAAACTGCATTGATTCTGCAGTATAGGTTCACCCTTGGTGACACAACACCAGATTTAGTGCTTCCCACTTCCTTTCAAAACAAAACTGCTGCTGTTCCACATAACTTTCTAGACCAAACTTTTTCTAATTGCCCGATTCTCAGGAGTTCTTAAAGTCAGGCATTGTTGGTTTCCAAAAGAAACACAGCTCCCATCCATGTGCTTTGTACATCAGCCATATCAACATGCACGTAGACAGGCTCCCTATAAATATTCTCATGGATGTGTGTAGGTTGGGAGCAGAGATTGCTGCCATGACGCTACCCTCCTTCTACATGAATTATTACTAGTTTTTGAATACTTGAAGAGGGCTTTTGTTCTGCTGAACTCAATGGATCATGTTAACCTTGACTAACATAACCCGCTTTTTCAATAGAGCTGAAAAACGTCAGCTGGATTGGAGCCAATGTATTTCCACACCGTGCAAGCTAGTGCTAAATGTAAATCAACATGCCTGCAATTACATATTAGCATATTTCATTGCTTTATTTCAGCTGTCTGGGTTGTTGATTCAGAGCTTAAAGACCCTGGCTGAGAGACATGGCATTATGTATAAGGGCCATGAACCAGAAGTGTTCATTTAAAACTTAATCTCTGCTAATACACAAAAGCCTTTAAGTATTTTAAATACTTGCCCTCCATTTAATAGATACACTTTGTGTGTGCTGCCTTATGTTTCACTTTTTGTTGAAGGTTTGCCAGCTATTTATGTATTTATGTGCACATATAGAAGGGCTTCCCTTCCTTAGGGTTAGCTTCTGTTTTTTAAACATAGTATAGCAAACACACTTCATCATTAGGCTGTGACAAACCCCTTCTCCCCCCCTCCCCCAAAGTAATTGAAAGAGCAATCCTCTGTTTGAGTTCTGCCAGGATGATATTTGGCAAAAGATACACTATGCCAGCAGAACATTAAATACATAACTGGAATGAAAAATAAGTCAGATTCACTGGGGGAATGACCATAGTGGATTCGAGGCAATACAGTTGAGACCTGGTAGACTTTCAACTTCTATAACAAGGGGTCTGCAAGGAGAGGAGAACTGTCAATGCAATTTCAGGCTGCATCAATAGGAGTATACGTTTAGATTGAGGAAAGTAATAGCACCACTTTATTATGTGTTGATCAGACCTTACCGGGAATACTGTGTCCAGCTCTAAGCACCACAATTCAAGAAGAATACTGACATCCTAGAACATGTCCAGAGAAAGGCAACCAAGATGGACAAAGGCCTGGAGGCCAAGCCCAATGAGGAGAGGCTTAAGGAACTAGGTATGTTTAGCTTGCCAAAGAGAATCATAGAATCATAGAGTTGGAAGAGACCTCATGGACCATCCAGTCCAACCCCCCTGCCAAGAAGCAAGAAAATCGCATTCAAAGAAGGTTGAAAGGAAATGTGATGGTAATGTTTAAATATTTGAGAGGATATCATATTGCAGAGGGAGCAAGCTTGTTTTCTCCTGCTCTAAAGACTAGAACAGGGAGCAATGGATTCAAATTGCAGGAAAAGAGAGATTCCACCTAAACTTTAGGAAGAACTTTCTGGCAATAAGAGCTTTTCTAGCAGTCAAATATGCTGCCCTGGAGTGTGGTGGAGGCTCCTTCTCTGGAGGTTTTCAAGCAGAGTTTTGGTGGCTATCTGTCTAGTGTGCTTTGATTGGTATTCCTGCAAGGCAAGTGGATGGACTGGATGGCCTTTGTAGTCTCTTCCAACTCAATGATTCTATGAGACGGGGAGTTGCAGTAAGTGATGCTCTGAGATATGACTACTCTTTCCCTTGCTTATAGATGTTGGATACTTTCCACCCACAGAAGGGCAGTGTCTTCCTCACACATAACAAGAGAATTATTTAAGCACTCCAACACAATCACTGGCACTACTGGTCAAATCCTTTTGAATCATTTTGCTTTGGAGGTTTGTAAACTGCGTACAGAAAGCAAAACAAAGCACCAGCCTATACATGGTGTTCTAGAGCCACATGGAGGGGGGACATGGGTCATAGAACTTCTCTGCACAAACAAACAAGGAAACAAAAAAAGAAACCAGACTCTAGTGCTGGCTATCTACATGATGTACAGGCAGTCCCCAAGTTACGAACAAGGTAGGTTGTGTAGCTTTGTTTTTAAGTTGCATTTGTATGTAAGTTAGAACAGGTACATTTTTTAAGTGTAGCTCCAACCCACCTGCCTGCCTATCTATCTATAAGTTTCTGACAGCATAGAGAAGGGTTAACACCCCTGTTGTTTTGTTGTCTGTGCCTCTGTTCAGAACATTCCACCTCACTTCCTGTCTCTCTGATAATTGGATTTTGAAAATTTTGGCTTATTGTCAAAACAAAGATTGGTGAGAAAGATTCAATCAAGACACCTTTTCCCCATGATAACTCTTTCAGGAGTGAATTTCCCTTCCTAGGGGTAGATTTCTCTAACTCTGGTTGTCTCACCCTGTTCTTAACTATAAGTTGCTTGCAAGTCAGATGTTTGGAACTCAGGGACTGCCTATACTTCTGATGACAGATTTTCTGTCCTTAGCCTGGCTTTATTCCACTTTAAGCAAATTTGCAGTGTACTCCAGAGTTTGCAGGACACTGCAGAGTATCTTGTGGTTTCACGGCCATTTAAAGAGCTCAGTCTAGTCCATTTTGATCCAAACTACTGTCCAGCAAGTAGTTCCAACCTGTGGGTCCCAGAAATCCTAACAGCTGATAAACTGGCTGGGATTTCTGGGAGTTGCAGGCCAAAACACTTGGATACCCACAGGTTGAGAATTACCAGTCCAGATGGACATCGCCACCATTATCCTTTCCCTGTGCAGACCCCATGATGCTTCCGCTGCTTTCCACCCACAGAGCTCCCTTCTAGTGTCTATCTGTTGCAGATGTGTCCAAGGATATCAGAATGAGACAGCCATGTGATCAGCAAGAAGAAAGAAGTTTCAACATTGACAGGGAAGTGGGATATTATAGCAAACTTTCCATGAAAAGAGACTATGAGTACCAAAGAGTTATGTCATTTTTGCACTATTCCTCTCAAAATTACCCAACTGCTAAGGCTATTAGTCATGTTGCTTGGTGGGGGGGGGGGGGGGGGGGGGGGGGGGAGTCTGGGAATTGTAATCCCCAAAAACTAACTTTTCCAATTTTTTTTCATCTGCAGTGTCCCAGGTCTGGGGCAAAAGGTTGACATAAATAGTTCTTGTTCAAATAAACAGAGGAGTGTACAACGAGTAATGAATACTTATTTGAGGGTTTGCATTTTTTGGATCTTTTTGGATATATTTACGACATTTTACTTATATTTTTCTTATTTTTGGTAAGAGCATGCAAAACCCACATTTCCCCCCATAAATTCAAGAGATAGAATTTGAGAGTTGAAAAATCTACACGTGGTAGAGTGCAAAATTGACCAATTCATGCATCCAGGCAGAGAGCCTTTAGTGTTTAACCCTGTGCATTCAAACATCTTTGTTACAGCGCATCATAGTTGTCATCTCGCTCCCCCCCCCCACCCCAAGTTTAAAAGAGACTCCTCAACTTCAACAGTTAAAAGAAAGAACCTATGCATTGGCAATAACTATATTTACTGAATTTGGCTAGTGTAGATGGTTGCAAAATGGCTGGGGTTGCTTTTCATAAGAACATTACAAGACTTGCACATTGCTTCATAAATTCAATGGACATATTTGAAAATGTCAAATGTGAAAGGAAACAAAACAAGCAAATCCTCCCATTCCTAGATCTTGGCTATTTCCCACCTAAATCCAGCTTGCAGCCTCCCACATCCTGTGTTTCTAACACTAACTCTAAAAAAGTGCTGGCTCACAAAACAATTTTGAGTCTAGTGTAACTTAATATCTTTCCCTGGGCAAGCACATTTAATATTTGTGGGCTAAGATGTTCAGAGATTGTAGCCTGTGGGCTTTGCTTTAAATCTAAATTAAACAGGAACATTTCAAACAAAAACAAAAACATTTCATTTACTCTGTGACTCACAGTAAAGATAAGCAGATGAAATCTTTTGTTCTAACTCTGCTGAAGTATCAGAAGTTAAAACTTGTCTTTCCATGCATATGAAAATCAATTAATTTGATCATTAACAAATGTTGCTTCCCTTCCTCCTTCCCAAAACAAGTTATATACACAAAATACGTTAAATGTTCTTTCCTTCAGTTCTTGTACATGTAACAATGTTATCTATCTAAAAAATGTTGCACTTACTGTACATTTGTTTGGCTTCTCTCCTGAATGCACTCTCATGTGAATCAGAAGTTTGTAGCGGGCATTAAATGGCTTGTATCTTCGAGGGCACCCAGCCCAGAAACAAGTGAAATCCTCTCCTTTCCTTTGGTCTATGTGAATTTTCTCTATATGCCGTACAAGTTCTTCTTGCAGGTCATAGGTAGCACTGCACTCTATCCAGCGACAACAGTGTTTGCCATTAAAATCATCCAGTTCACCATCCTCATCCAAGAGAGAACCTTGGATGGATGGTGGCAAGGAAAGCTGGTGGGAATGGTTTATGAGTTCATGCTGATGCGCATGGTATGGAGGTGGTGGGCCATGTGGCAGAGGAAGAACTGGAGTTGCCAATGGAGAAGCAGAGGACATCTCATTGGTGTTTCCAGAAAAACCATCCATACTCCCACTCTTTAACATACCCACAGATTGGTTGTCTAGAAGAGAAATACCTTGTTGAACCACCATGTTGTTTGTGACCACTGGCTGCAGGATGTTTTGTTCCATCTGTTGCATGCGTTGGTATTCAGTATTTCCATTTTCATGGCACCCTGGGAAGGTGACAGTGCCATTAGCCACTAAAAGTCTTTTTTTGGGATTAGGAATCGAACATGTTTGTGGGATGCAACTTCCTCTTATTCCCAAGAAATGTCCATAGACCTCAGGCTGAGGAGACAGGTTTGATGGAGATGTTCTTGAACCATTTATGTAAGCAACAAGAGAGGTGGGAGATGTGCGGATGATTGTATTGAAGTCAATCCCAATGCCATCAGACAAAGGGGACAAGGAGAGGGCCCTCTTTTTGGCTGAATGAGACCTGGCTGAAGAATGGTGGGGGCTAGGATAAGGTGAATGGCTGCTCTCCATACCAAACAAGTAAGATGGTAATGAGCTAGAAACGTTGTTGGACATGGACATGCCAGATGTGACACTTGGTAGATCACCCGACTCACTGCTGTTTTGTGAGCCGTGATTGGAAGGAAAAGAAGGGAAAATCCTATAACCATGAAGCCACTCTTGTTTGACATTCTGTATTGATTGACTTTCAGATAGGCTTAATGTTGTGGATGCCAAAGATTCCCGTGACATCAGGGATCTGCAGTAAAGACAAGCAAGAATGCAGTTTTAGAAACTTAAAATCTAGTTCTTGGCGATTATATTAAGCAGCTGACTAACTGGCATACTCAGAACTCAGTCCCAAAACCTGATAATAAAAATCTAATAGTTAACTGCTGGCCTTTGGTTTTTTTATATTTAAAGCCTATGTGCAGAGTTATTATACAATTGTACACTAACAATATTGATTGGAATTGTGCACTGCAGTAGTATAAAGACACCCCACAAGAAAAATTACCCTTACTTCCCAATGCAGCCCTGAGTGTACTCTCCCAAGCCTCTTTTGGAAGTTGCAAAGTCCTCAGGAAAAAGCAGGGAAGTGAGGCAAGCAGCTGCATTAGCATTAGATAATTATTAGAAATCGGGAAACTGGAATTCAATCAGGATTGCAGACGAGCCATTCATTATTAGATATAACCCATTGATAAGATAGACTATATAATAAATTTTTCAAAGTATATTACTGTCATTCCAATTAATAACTCCTGCATCTTGGGAGTAAAAGTAAAAGTTTCCCCTGACATAAAGTCTAGTTGTGTCCAACACTTGGGGGTGGTGTTCATCTCCATGTCTACAGACAAGTTGAAGAGCTGGTGTTGTCTGTAGACACCTCCAAGGTCATGTGGCAGGCATGACAACATGGAGTGCCTTTATCTTCCCGCAGAAGCTGTACCTATTGATCTACTCACACTTGCATGTTTCCGAACTGCTAGGTTGGCAGAAGCTGGGCCTGATAGTGGGAGCTCATCCCACTCCCCAGATTCAAACCACTGACCTTTTGGTCAGCAAGTTCAGCAGCTCAGTGGTTAACCTGCTGCATCATATTGGAAGTAATTCCAGAGAAGTCGTATTGAACATCAGCATCTACAAATTTAATTGTGTAATCTTGACCTAGGCAAGATATCTCAATGGCAGGACTCTGTGTTTGTATTGCCCTTCTTCATTCATACACACACAACTATATAAGAGAATGAGAAAAGGCGAGTTTAAAGCAGGGTAGAAATCACACAGCCCATGTGCTGAAGATGGGCCTTGGAGGTCCTTTGGGGCTCTTGGCAGTTCCAGCCTTGTGCCGAACTCTGATATATATGTGTGTGTGTATCTTCTCTGTCAAAAATATACCTCAGGCGGACCTGTTTGTTCATTAATGTACATAATTTTGCCTGCTCCTACCCCAAAACAGAAAGAAAATTCCTGAAATGATTTCTGGGCATCATTTTTTTGTCATAAACAGACAGGCCAGTGTTGCCCACCAAAGATCTAGAAGAGCCAAACATGGACCTTCACCACTGATGGATTGCCATCCTGTTCTAAAGCGAATGATGCAAAGGTCTGATCTGGAATGAAAACTGAATAGAAGCAATGTAACTCAAGACCTTGTATCAGATGGAGGTATATTTAGGTTTGCAGCATTCATAGCCTTCTGTAAACTAGAGCTGATTTGGTTGCATGCCGTTGAGACCTGTTGTGCTGGAGGAGATGGTGGTCCCAGTCTCTGAACCATCATTGGACTGCTGGTAACTATTAAATTGTTGCAGCTGCTTTTTCCAATGGACTTGCACCGAGGCCCACAGACAAGACCCCCTAGAAATAGAGGAATCCAGTAAAACTTTAAGTCATGCTTTTCACACATGAAAACATTTTAATAAAATTATTTATCATTTTTATTTTATTATCTGAGCAGTTGATGAACGAGTTAATCAACACCTTTACTTGGAATACAGGGAAAAATCTTCAAGTTATTTACACCTTGTTATTTACATCTGTGTAACACAGTTTTTGTTCCTGGGTTATAAATGTCATTTCCTAATTGGTTCTATCATAAAAACATGGGGAAAATTAATTAAACTACGGGACATCCTGCAACACATTTTGCTCTACTTTTTCAATGAATATCTCAATGAGTCTCAATCAATTCAACTGTGGTATCCACAAAAATGAAGTTTCTGGAGTATAACAATTACTTTCAAAGTAAGTACTGCACAATTAAGCAGGAATAACACTTTCAAGCCAGAAACGAAAAATCTTTCAAATGTTGTTAGATAGTTTTATAGTAGTTGCTACGTTCTGAGAGAAAGAGACAGAAAATGAAGGGAAGCATGAACATCATTATGAATCACCTCACCCATAGAAAGATTAAATGTTGATTTTTAAAATGGAAGAGAACAATGCACAGTGAATTGGAAAAACTATTTGATAAAACATTAACTACAGTTGTTTGATCAGTTTCACAGAACTCATTTCTTCTTTCATTCTATCTATGGCTCAAAAGATTTTCTTTTTTAACAGATCTGTCTGAGAGTTACAAATCTAATTGTTAGCATTTAATTTTTTAACAGTTCAGGCAATTTTTAAAAATGCTCATTTTAACAGTATGAGCAAAAATGTAAAGTAAAAAAATGTCTTCTTCCAGTTTTTGACTTTTGTGAATAATGTACTAAATTTCAAACATGATTTTCTAGATATTGCTATATGTTCATTCTTGCTATTTCCCCCATAACCTATAAGAAATTCATAAATTTATTGCAATTTATGAATCTCAGGCAGGACAAACCTGCAATATCGAGGATCATGGATGAAATATACCAGTTCTACCATAAAGCTTATACACATCTATACATTCAAAAGCATAAAAGACGTGATCTTCTTTTTCATAAAAAACACAAGATTCTCATCATTTCAACATACGTGTTTAATGTTTATTTTCAAAATAAAAGCTGTACCTTCCTCAGGTACTCACACTAAAAGCATTACAATCAGCCAATGTAGTTACTGTGGTAATTCTGGGAATATTAATTGAGCAGTAAATTATAGCACTCATATTTTATTCCAGAAAAAAATGGCAATTAGTTTCCTGGTAACCCAGTTTAATACCATACAATTTTCTGATTGGTATTTCACGGTAAAAACTCGGCAAATATTGGGAAAACGTCCTTACTAAACAAGAGTGAACAATAATGCTGAAATGTATTATAATGATACCAATGTATCTTAAAGAGATGATGAATCTGTAGAAGACTAATATAACACAATGCCAAAATATAAACATGATAAGCATTATATGCTTTTACCAAAATCACAATTGCAGTTCCAGACAGGTTCCCAAGGTGCAATAAGAAAAATACCAATCCTGATTATCCGACTTACAAATGACTCAGTTAAGAACAGGTGAGAGAAATCGGCCCCTTGGAAGGGGAATTCACTCCTGAAGAAGTTATCATGGGGAAAAGGTGTCTCTGAAGCCTTACCACCAATCCTTTTCCACACCAAGTCAAAAATGTCAAAATCTGATTATCACAGGGACAGAAAGTTAAGTGAAATCTTCTGAACAAGGGCACAAACAACAAAACAAATGTGACAGTGGTGTCAACCCTTCCGTATACTATCCAAAGCTTATGTGTGTGTGTATGTGCGTGTGTCCGTACACAGAAATTTTAGCAATAGCACTATCTTAGTGGGAAAAGAGTCTTGTGTGATAAAGTTTTAGAAGGACAGTGGAGACTTTTTGTTGGTTTTCAGTGGTAGCTTTTGTGCTGGCATTTTCATTTTATCTGCCACTATTCTTTTTGTTCTTATTACTGAAGCCATTCTTAATATTCCTATTTTCTTCCCACTGTGCATTGATTGGGGGACTCAAGGGGCAAAGAGACTGTATATATGATTATCCTTATTCAAAAAACATCAAGCATAAAGTGGGCACCAAACAGCAAGGGAATGTGAAAGGCAATAAGAAAGAAAAGTAAGATAACTGAGACCATTTTTTTTCTCTTTCTGACCTCCTAATCTTTTACACCTAGAACTATGTAAAAGTGAAAGCCAAGTGTGCCAAGAAATCAGAAAGTAACTGTATATGTTTGATCAAGCCCAGTGCTTCAGAAAACATCCTTGGGGTCTGGCAACACTAATAAAGTAAACTAATAAAGACAACTCGTGCCATGACACATTTTCAAACCTACAAAAGGCATGCTCCACTTGATAAAATCTTTCCTCAGTCAGATGATGAACCAGTTTAGCTTTCCCCAAGTTTGGAGAAGTTTGAGGAAGAAGTCAACTCTCATTGGATATTGCATCTAAGGTTTGAAAACTATCAAATACTGTGCACAAAAGGGAGGGGGGGGGGAATAGGACCCCAAGGTATTTTAAAAGAAACAAACAAACAATATAATGATCTAAACTTGTTGTAGACTTTTTTTTAAACAAAAAGCACATAGCCTTGAAAAGAACAGCCTCACTTTGTTTGGTACGATATCTCAGAATCTTGGCAAATCGCACAGAAACTTCCATGCTTCCTGTATAACAAACCAGTGCCACTTACATGCTATCTGCAATTGTTAAGTAAAAGCGACAGTCATTGAACCTGGATTTCAAACATTTAGCTCATGACACTGAGGCTATCAGGTTTCTTTTCAGGGTGGTGACAACATCACACTGTCTAACTGTTCAATTGGAACATTTGAAACCGTGTAATTAGACAGCTTGTACCTGATTAAACATGAGCTCATCAGGAGTTAAATGTCAAAATGTCATACATATTAGCAGTCAGAGATACATAATACCCACACTTTTGAAATGCAATCTTGCAATTCTTCCAGTCCAGGGCATTTAAAGTATGTCATATATAAATAGCCACATATTTAGAATAAATTTAAAAAGAATGAAATATTTATAGAAGTGAAATCATTTGAGAAACAATCCGTTTCTGTGCAATCGTTTCATCTACGATTTTTTAATAAGTCTGTCTCATATTGCCTTAGAAAGATTTTTTAAAAGCAGCTGTGTAAAAAGAAAGAACTTAACATTTTAGATACAGTATTAAAGTACAAATGTTACACATGTATGCAGTCATTCGCAAGTTAAGTGCCTTTTGAACCTAAATCAATCAGATGCAATCAATCACAGACAAGATATTTCCAGTCATTTCCACACAACTGTCATCACATTCAAATTAGTCCTCAGGTGGTTATCCCTTTTTAAGACTAGAAAATCCATCTGAAAAGATGGGTACACTATAAAAACCAAGCCTGTATCCAGACTACAGAATTATAGCAGTTCGAAGCCACATTACATGCAATGGCTCAATGTTATGGAATTCTGGGATTTGGACCTTTGTGAGATATCTACCCTCCTCTGCCAGAGAGTTCTGGAGCCACAAGAAATCCATCCTATGGGATGGAGCCATAATCTCCATAGGCCTACTAGAACTGACAAAAGTTTTCACCATAAAAATCAATAACTTTTCTACAGGACACAATGCATTTTGCTCACAATACACTGGTCTTTGTACAAAATACAACTTTGTGAAATCATATTTTCCGCGTATTTTGCATCATTTGTACAAAATATAGTTGCTCATGGGGGTTCTGTGTGGGAAGTTTGGCCCAATTCTATCCTTGGTGGGGTTCAGAATGCTCTTTGATTGTAGCTGAACTATAAATTCCAGCAACAACAACTCCCAAATGTCAAGGTCTCTTTTCCCCAAACTCCACCAGTGTTCACATTTGGACATATTGAGTATTTGTGCCAAGTTTGGTCCAGATCCATCATTGTTTGAGTCCACAGTGCGCTCTGGATATAGGTGAACTACAACTTCAAAACTCAAGGTCAATGCCCACCAAAACACTTCCATTATTTTCTGTTGCTCATGGGAGTTCTGTGTGCCAAGTTTGGCTCAATTCTATCGTTGGTGGAGTTCAGAATGCTCTTTGATTGTAGGAGAACTATAAATGACAGCAACTACAACTCCCAAATAACAAAATCAATCCCCACCCCCCACCCCGGCCATTTGGCATATCGGGTATTTGTTCCAAATTTGGTCCAGTGAATGAAAATACATCCTTCATATCAGATATTTACATTATGATTCATAACAGTAGCAAAATTATAGCTATGAAGTAGCAACAAAAATAATCTGATGATTGGGGGGGGGGGGGTCACCACAATATGAGGAACTGTATTAAGGGGTTGCGACATTAGCAAGGTTGAGAACCACTGCTCTACATCCATGAAGTCTGTGTCCACAGATTCCACCATTCATCATTTGTCCTTTTACACATCCTTTTACTACCTCACTGAACGTAATGGGATTTGAATATCCACAGATCTTCTTCAATTTGATCATGAAATGATTTGCATGACATTATTTTATCTCAACCACAGATGATTGACATTTTTCTGATTGATTCTGATTTATCTGATGGCGATATATCTCAATAAGAGCTGTTGGGAGCTACTCTTAAGATGTCAACAAGAAGATATTCTCAAAAAACTGCAGAGTCGAGTCACAGCAATCAGGACAGAGTTTCATTCCAAATGGAGTCCCAATACATAAATCAAAACTGACTTCATCAATAATTAAGCATTAATAATTAACAAATGCAAACAGCAAAATACTCTGCGGAAATGTTTTAATCTGTCCAGTTCCTCATTCCTCAGCCTGCCTATTTTGTTGTTTCTACTCTCTGGTTAGTTAATATCTAAGCTCCCGTCATCTCTGACACGCAACTAAATTCCACAATGATCTTCAAAGAATGTAGCTTTTAGAAAGATTTGTATTTTCTTGACGGCTGCAGCTTACAATATTTGTT